CCCGTATAAATTCATTGTTCATTGTCGTGTAACGCGACCCCATCAATACACGCTGCACCTTCGTGTGCTTGTGGGTGTACCGCTGAATCCCACTGTCTGCGCCCGGCCGCAAGAGTGAGACATTGACACAGCCACTGTCTCGGCCGGCTAACCTTGACGCCGGATCAATCAATACAGGGTCAAGGGTAGGGCTAACCATCGCACGTTCACGTGCCCTGATGAGTGCAAATAACCGAGCCGCGGTGCCTAAAGGCACCTGTGAAACGTGAAATAAGATGCCCAAAATAGGAATTTGCGGTGGCAATTGCCAAATCTAGTTCCATGCGAAATGTGGGAAAATTACACCAAGCGAGTGCACTCGTTTTGTTTCTGTGCCAACTGTAATAATGTCCCACTAGTTAAACGCGTAATTGTACTGTCCCAGAAGTATGAAAGACTTATAGACGTAGTTGTGAAGATACTGGGCACAAAAATAGCTTTGGTAGGAACAGGCATAGCAGAATGTCTGATACAGTCCACTCCGCCTAACTCCACTGCAAGACAACTCAACAAAACCAATGCTACACTAATAAACTTGCACACGCATATACTGTCAATAATTCAAATCTCCCATGCGTTCCCGAACACTTAACCCCCAGCCCTAATACAACAATTTCCTCCAAACCCACTTCCTCCCACCAGACATCGCCGAAAACCAGGAAACATGCAAATTCCAGTGACAGCTGGGCCGTTGTTGCATCAAAGTGCACTTCACAATCAGACGCTAGTGCTTCTATAACTACAAATAAAACTAATGTGAAAGGCAACGCTGCACGGATGCACATAAAAGCGCTGGGTCTCCACACTACGGTCCACACTTCCAATAAAGACAGTCAGAAACAACTGGATGCCCTATCTAAAATATGTACCAATGTTCCTGAGCCAAGCTCCAATTCTTTGAAGGGGGAACAGGTGGACGACCTGAACCAACGGAATGCCATAAGTAACCTCCTCGGTATTCTGACTAAACCCTCCAACTGGACCAGAATCACCTGCCACCCGAATTCCAAGCATTATGGCGAAGCCAGACTTCTTCGGATTGTGTTAAACTCTGTCCGTGAGGTAGAAGCAGCCTTGCTTTCGACTGCACGTTTTCAGAACAATATCTGTCTGGTCCGCGTCTTTCCAGACGTTGTCTGGAGCCAGCGCAAGCTAGCGAGGCAGAGTTTAGAATAGTTCCTGCTAAACGCCGCAGCCAGAACCGTTTTTGTCCACGGCGTCCCCCAGTCTCCAGAGCATGATGAATTCAAAGCAAAGACACAGGACCAGGAGCAGTTGTGCTATATTCATGAGACCTGCTCTTGAATGACTTTGTTGCTACTTTGTCTGGAGACTGTCATGATCAGAAAGCTACAAAGCATGCTGCCAAAGGATACTTAAGGTTGTATTACAAACTAGGCAGATGACACGTACGATACTCGAAGGCTGGCATTTACTTCGGAACAGACTGCCAACCGAGCTCCTTTTCAAAGCGGCGAGCCAGACTATCGTCCATCTTAAAGCACTACCACAACAGGCAAACAAATTAGTGATCTCATCCGAAATTCGTACCAGAATTCGGGCTGAAGGAACTGAGGAACTTCCTGTGCATTCCTGCAGCCACTCACCATGCATTGTGTAGACTATGTTGTCAGAGGGACTAATCACAATGCCAACGAACGCAATTTCAAGCCACTCGCCGATAATAGCACAAGAAACGGCTAACGGCCGATCATACAATGGTCGGCACAACCTCTCATCCTAGCCAGAAGTGCCTTGGATCTTTGCTGAGAACCGAAACACTTTCCTGCATGTACCCGAATGCCAAAGGTCTCCTCAGCAAACTCGCCTAGCTTCGGTTGCGCAAGATAACAAAAGCTTGGGATCTCATCTCCATAACCGAGACTTGGTTGCACTCAGACATTACGGGTGCAGAGATCGCGACTCAGGGTATGTCCTTGTTCCGACACTATTGTCCCAGCAGAGGAGATGGTGCTATCCCATATTATCGTAACGATTTACAATGGGAACCCCTGGATTATCCGGAGACGTGGGTCACCAATTTGCTATGGTGTCTGCGTCACAGACACAACGCCAACTGCTTTGTGGCAGTCGTATATCGCTCCCCATTGTCCACTTCAGAGATGGATTCCCACCTAATATAATCATTGACGAAATACTTACTCCCGAATTACAGCCACGTCCCTATTTCCGGCGATTTCAATGTGCACGACTTGGAAAGCTCAGAATTCCCCAGCGAAATATACAAGACCTTATCGCAAGTATCCTTCTCTACAACCACATCACATCACCTACCAGATACAGCTGATAACAAACTGTCAGTACTTGACCTCGACCCTACAAATGAGGAATTCATGATCTACAGGCCTATTATAGATACCCCACTGGGGGTAAGCGATCATGTCACCATTCTTTATAACTATGTGTCTTACGCTGAATATCCTGAGGATCACACAGAACTAACACGTACTATCACACATTACAATGTCACAACATTACAACATCTGGGCTGCTCAGAACAACCTGAGAAGGCGTCAAATACCAGGAACCAACACGTTGGCATTCTGCGGAGGGCATTTGGGCGGTTTGATCCCTCTGTCTGTTCGCAGTTGCTTAACACCTACGTGCGCCCTCATGTGGAATAGGCAATCTAGGCCTGGCAGTCTTGGTACAAGCAAGAACTTGCAGCGCTCGAGATTCCACAGCGACGAGACACGAAGCATGTCAAAGGGTTGTCCAATCTTCCTACTCAACTTAGACAGAGATCTTTAAAATTATCCAGCGGCCGGTACCGGCGCCTATGCGGCGACCTTATTACGGCCTACCAGATTCTAAGGAATTCCAACCACCTTTGCCGTCACCTACTACAACTGATCCACAACACCAATTTGAGAGGCCACCAGTTCAAGTTATCCACCCAATACAATTGGCTAGAATGTCGACGGAACTTGTACCCTCTTCGTGTGTGCCAGCCTTGGAACGCCCTCCCAGGTACGTTGTTTCCGCTCCCTTGTTTACCTGTGTTTCAAAAACGCCTTGATGTTGCCCTAACCCACCTATACTACGAGATATAGTCCGTGTGTCTCGACAGATCATATAATGTGACGAACGCTGCACAACCAGAATTAACCTAAACAATCGAGATTGGCTCCTTTCTGCATGCCTTTGTGTGAACACTGTGATGAGTCCACCATAAGGATTTTCATTTTATCCCTTTGTTTTCTATTCACCATGTTGTGGTTCTCTTTTTGGCCATCCTACGGGACTTGCTAAGCATCCGCTTTTTCGCTCGTAATTTGACATTGTTCCATCATTGTTCCATTAATCCCATTCTCAGTTGATTGGAATGAATTGCTTTTCTTTAAAACAAAAGCAACATCATTTCAGCGATTTTTGTGGCAAGCAATTACCATTTTACCACATCTGAAAAATGTCCCCATTTGTGTCAAGATTTGCTCCTCACGTCATCGCTATCTTCCGAATGTCTACTAAGTAGTTTGCAATGGAAAAGATTGAAATATGTGATTAACGGACTTGACTGCCAACAACTAGTCAACCTTGTAGTGTTTGTTTCCAGTAATTAGATCCAATGAAACTGTTTTGGGAGCAATTAGCACAGCGCACATACAATCTCATTTGTGTGTCCGAAAGTGCGTAGATGTGTTAGTTCAGATGTTTCACTAACGTAAATTGTGTTTGTCAACCACTGTGAATGGTTGTTTGGTTAGGCCCAAGTGACCAGAACTAGGGGAATGAGAATATCGAGTTGGATAAAAGCTACTGACAGATGTGTTCTTGGTTCAATCAGGAGAAGTGCAGCAAATCGTCTGAAATCTTGCATTACCCTCCAAAACCAGAGCTGAGAGTGGAAACCGGGTTGTAGTGGTTGACGGTAAATGTTTTGATCACGGGATCACATAACTTCACAAGTATTGTCTTACACCCGGTGATGAGAATTTCATTGGATTACAACTGAACAGTGGTGGTACGAAGATGGTACACATCAATACGCACTACACTGGGTGGTGTCCGATTAAGACCATGCGAAGTTGCATGTTTGTTTGGTTTGATTTGCATATGGGCTTAGCGGGAAACTCATGAAAGCAACAGTCCACACTAGCTGACCTAAACCTATGGGTAGGTTTAATTGGCCAGAGGCTGTCGTTATGTCATAATGGGTTACCAGGTGAAAAGGCGTAATGAGGAGAGTGTACAGGGCACGCTTTGATGCTAGCGTTTTACACGGGCATTTACCTAAACGAGTGTTTTACATAAGACCTCAAATTATCATGCAGTTGTAAATTTCCGCTGAACTACGTACAGTGACTGATCATCAACCCATGTCGTGGTTGTGTCTGCTAGTCGGTATTTGGTTGTGCAACATCATATCTCCCCTTGCTGTTTCGCCACTTTCGGTCGATCATCACACGGTGCATCGTCTGCGATCACACAATGTGAATAATATGATGTACATCGAGAATTAGAAGGGTCAACGTCAGATGAGCACAAACATGAAGAAGGGTATTGTGAGTCCGTTGCATATCGGAGTTTCAATAAACTGCTGACGGTCACGGAGTAAGAATGCGTATTAATGTAGTTCTCAACCCAGTTGGCACTCGGATTCCACGGGAACATCCGCTAGAGTTCACAGAAATACGGTGCTTACCATATGCTTTTGATATCAAAGATACTCTAACTCCTGTATGGAAATCGACTGCTATTCGAGTAATATAGCTTGGTAACCACAACACCCTTTGCTAGACCGCTGTTGTCCTTTCAATCGTACGGACCCTGCTCATCAACTTATTGAACCAGACTGTCGATAAATCAGTTGTCGATTTTGCTGACTTTTGAACAGTTCACAAAACTGGTAGATCGTTCTTACTGCGCAACAAAAGTCCAGTTTTATTAGGATGTTCAATAGGAGCAGTTGGATTTGGAATCACGTGGCGGAGACTCACCCTCTACAGGTTGTATCACCTCTTGTACCACATTGGTCACGTGCGCTTGCTTTACCAGTTTCTTATCCTTCGTTTTCTTTATATCATCTTTGTGCTGAAAAATACGAACAGTAAGTGGTAAGGGGTGTCAATATGCAGGTTTAGCGGTGTCATAGGTAACCGCAAAAGGGTGCGAATACATGCAATCGAAATTGGGGCATCAGCAAAGGAAGTAGACAATGTGCGTCGGTAACCGCAACATTTCTCTACATTAGATGACTACTGTCTGCAATTGCAGCCCTAAAGGTCGCTTTTAGTTCGACGCTCAATGCACATCGTGTCGGCATTTCCTAGTCAACCAACACTAACAGTTATGGTTGGAGAAATGTAGGGTTTTTATGCGTCTTTCGCATTTGCGGGGCGAACACGTTGCCGCGGAATCGTGACTACAACGGCTGTTCAGATATTCAGAATGTGATAGGAAGTCAACATTGTATGGTTTTTAGACCGAACCACTCACATCACTCACCCAGGTAGATAAGGAAACAAAACCTGGTCGCGAAAATGCGTCAGGACGCCAACTTCATTTGCTCAGAGTGCAAAAGGAGAAAGTGCACCAAGCCGTGAAGAGCGTAACGATAACTAAAATAAACAGACGCATTTCAAGATGCTGCGGATCGTGGATTATAGCCCACGAGGAACATGCTATTAAACACGACAACATATTTTCCAGTAACGTGACGCAGAGAATGATTCGTCTGAGAATTAGCCGAGTGATGCCGCCAAGTAAATGTTATCTGAGGCGTTTCGTTGTCAACTTGACCTAGCCCTTATACATCGGTAGGGTGCATCTGTGTCGAGAAACCGATGGATTTTGAATTGTGATTGAATAGATCAAATGGTTTGAAGATTTGAATGCTTTGAACCTGTTGGCTGTACCGGGTTAACCACGACAAACCGTACGAAAAAGGCAGCAGTTTTGGGCAGTAGCATCAATAGAAGTAACATCCAACGCTTCCAAAAGGCATACGCACAGTGCTATAACAAGAAAGTCTGCCTAAACAACCAGAGGCAAAGATAAGCACACCAGTACTGAGAGCATATGAGTTGAATTCACAGTAGCAAACCTTGCGTATTTGTCCGCTGTGTTGCAGAGCCATCTTTTGATTGATACCATTGGTTCTCGAGCTACACATGAAGCATTTGAGTGTCAAGGTCCTGCTGCTATCATTTAGCTGAATTCGAATATAGTTAGACCATTCAGTGGGCGTACTATCCATATGTCTGTGTGCACGGGGATCTTGTCGTTCAGCTCATCACTATGTCCGGGTTGATGAGCGTCATCACATAGCCAGGTCAAATTGCTAAAAATGTGTATCTGATTTAAGAGATTTGCATCCATACGCAGTTGGGATAAAGAGACGCTGGAATGAGTAGAAACTGCTCTAACCAACCTTTGTTCATGGAGCTGTGACAGGCATACACGTTCGAAAAGGAATAGTTTTTCTGCTTTTAACTTAGTTCGGGGCACGTTTACGCTTGGAATGCGAGGTCGTTATCCTAATTCTTGGTTTTTGTATCCACATCACAACCACACACGAATACTATAAAGTCAGGTTGTGTTCATTTGATCTGACAAACGGTTACTGAAGCAGTATGTAAAAGAACTCAGTGATTTCACATGGTTTTTCTAATTTATAAAGTAAACAAAAGGAGGAACTGGCTGAATTCTACTTACCCAATTCGTGTGCACAATCATCCCCACTCTTGTGTTGTTATTAGTCCAAGAACGAAGCGCAAAAATGGCACAAGATGTAAGCACAGCACAGACATAAACTCTGTCCCAAATGAACGAAAGGTTGTCCTCGCTATATAGTCTCTTCCTCAGGATTATACCACATAGAACCCTATAGGAAATAAGCTAATTTAGTCAAAACTTGCTCGGCATGCGGAAGTTCATTTCTTGATACAACCACGGCAGGTTTTCAGTAAGGCGATGATGTGAATAAGAGCCCTTCAATAATCTCATTATAAATCCGCTAGTTTAAGTACATACTGTATTTATTTACCCATCAAATGAAACCTATGCGACCTGGGTGGGGGGTATGGAGTGGATTCAGTAGAACGCGGTTCTAATTGCAAATGTCCACCTAAGACCCAAAAGCTAGTTATGAACTGGTAACACATAGGCAGCAGTCTTTAACAAAGTAGACGCAGAGAATAATGACAAGAAAACAGAGGTTAACTTGCTACAGCGAGCTCCCAACCCTAAAATGCTGGTGTGTGAGCCAACAATGGTGTATGTGGTAGCTTAGCACCACTACAACGAGGACAATTATGTCACCAGAGCAGCGAACTAATCAAACGCCGCGCCGCTGTTTGATAGTCGTCGGAGAGGAAACTGACTCTGGTGATCGACGTCTGGTAGCTAATGCCTATATGATTGCTCGACAAACATTCGCATCCACTTTTGTGGCGTGTGACAACTTTTTAACTTTTGTTTTTCATAAATCCGGTCATTCAAAGTTGCAGTGAAGAGGAACGTAGAAACATTGGCAATGGAATAATAGGCCAATATGAAGCTGTGCCTCACACCTGCCTTAAATTACCAATAACAAAGTTTCAATCAAGATGACATTGCGCTTTACATTGTATGTAAGCGGAAGGACATGCAGATTTGCTAACCGATTAAACCTATTCCAGTCCATTTTGAGGGACAGCAATAGTTGGATGCGTTGAACTTTCAGTTGCATTCGCTTGGACAGAACTACTCTGGAATCCGATAGGTTGCCTTTAATTTAAAGGAGACAACATCGTAAGAATTAACATTATCGCGCCTCCAGTGGAAACCGAAATAAAATCATGAATATATGGAACACATATTATGGAATACACTTCAAACCCGCTTGATGGGTTTCGTTCATAGGCAATAGATAAAGGTCGGGGAATGCGAGCGGATAGGGAAATCCGCGGCTCACAGCGGAAGACGATGAGATATTTATGGCGTGTTGCACCTCCTAGATAAAGGTTTTTGAGCAATCAAAAAGCAGCGCTTCGTGTTCCATCGCGGACGGGGCCTACCATGGATGGATACCCTTCGCTTCGCTGTATTCCACTGTGGTCCAAGTTTCCCGTCATTTCAGACGTACCTCGTCAGATACGCACGTTGTTCTAATTTGTACTGTCACGAACAGATGAGTTTGGCTGGACACCGAAAGGTAACAAGGTTATTGGCTCCATCAGTGGCAGTAATGTCTAGATTATTGCTGCATCAAATTTTTTCAAAGCAATTCAGGTACAGGAAAGATCGTAAGGTGTGGAAGTGGGTGGCCACCATTTATCACTAATTCGCAGTTTGCATTCATTGACATCTCTTATAGAGCACCTCTACTCTTCAACGTGATATGAGGCCCACCTTGGCATTTTTACATACGTGCAAGAACGCACACAGAAAGCTAGATGGGTGACCGGTAGGTCACTGCACCACCACAAGACTTGTGAGCCGAGGCTCATTGATTACGCACGCACGCAAACATTGTCTGTTCGATATACATATACAAGATCATGCAGTATCGACAGCGTGTCTTATCTCAAACACGCACGTACAGATTAACGTTAGTGTGAAAACGTGTTCACTAATCCAACAACGGTCTCCTGGTACCGTAGCGAAGCATAGTTAAGAGAGTGCGCTGCGGAGTGGATTAAGCTAGTTAAGATGATGAGCAGCAGAGTCCGAAGCTCCTTTACGGTGTTAGTGTGTGGCTTGCACTTTATCCGAGTGGACAAGCTACTGCAAACGAAACACAGTGACCCAACGATGCCTCTACTTGATGCCTGAAAAGCGGTAGTGCGGAGGTGGAAAATGAGCAGTTGGTTTTGTCATGTTTGTATTCCCTTTTCGCAAGCGGCAGCTTCTTCCAACTTGCGTCCGCGAGCACTGCAAGGTGAAGTACCTTAAGAAAGCTGAATGAAGTCCATGAACTGTTACGAAGGCAAACGGGGGTGCAAAGTAGCAGTTTCGATGTGGGTGCCGCTCAGGTCCACCAAACTAAACGCTGAACTATGTGAGGTCGTTACTTAACTGCTAGTTAAACACAAGTACCTAGTTGTACGTTCGTCCGTAAAACCAACTGTAAACTTAGCTTGAAATGATGCAATTGGTGACATTGGAATCCATTTGATGGTGTGCATTGGGTGTTGAGTCGCCCGTTGCTCACTTGGAGAGCAGGTGGGAAGGTGGAGCACACGTGGTAATTGCTCACGTGGACTAATAAGGTGCGCTGTACACGGGCGAATGTGTAAATCGGAACTGTTCGATTAGGCAAGTCAGTGTGGAAAAGCTGTAAGAACTGCTATGCAATCGACCGGGAGAACGCAGACCAGTTAGTCTGTGGTAGGGGAAGAGGGGTACTGGTGATACGATCGTGTCCACCCCGTGCAAGTGGGTGGTGATAATTTTACTGCTAAATCCAGCTATGCCTTTATATGCCATTGATTCAGCCGATATTCATAATGCACGTCATTGGTATCAGATCCGATTTGTGAGACAGTTGCACTGTGTTCGGAAGTACAGATCTAGGGACAACAAACTAGCTGAATTACAAGGAGAAACCACTTGATAAAGGCGTTTCCAACTGCAGTCTTGATAATAGCATTTCTCCTTGTGTAGGTAGGAAGTCAGTGCCGTAAAATAATACAATGACCAGATTCTCTTCTTCACACGACTGCTCATACTGGATCAACACACAATAATAAACTTTCAAGGTTGAATTTGGTGTGCCCGTTGTGTGGTTAGATTGCGACACACAATCTCTGTCCACACCTCGGTTCACTTTGAAGTAGACCTCGGTCATTAGGATCGCAAGGATCGTATCAGAAGTTGAGATGGTTCGTTGTTGTGTTGGGAGGAACAACCCCGAACCACCTTCAATAACAAATGTTACTGCAAATATGAGCTGTAGGCTTGAGATGGACCAAAGAAGCGTCCACTCCATAACTAAGTCTCACTAGTAATGATCTGAACACCCGAAGACACTGCTCATAACAGGACAGCTGTTTTGGCTAGTTGAATACGCAGTGGAATATTTTTGCTATATTGTTCATTTTCACATCAAC